CCATCTCAGGCAACATATTCATAGCAACGATGATCATTCTTGTCACGTGCCAAATAGTCACGCTCAATCAGTGATTCGATTCTCTTCTTGATCAGTTGAGGATTCGGCATAAAACGATGCTTTAGTTGCTGCGTCACCTGCAAAATTTGCAAGAAAAAATCTCAAAAAAAAAACCTATTTTCGCGTAAAATTTATTAAAGGATAAAGAGAAAATGATGAAGTAAAAAAAATGAGGAGGGAAAGAAAAACGATGAAAGAAGTGGAAAAGGGAAATGGGAGTATCTCACTGTTTTTATAACTGATTATCGATAGCAGTATCCCTTTAAAATTTCAGCTTTCCAATTTCGCCGATTGTTGAAAGTTTCTGTCTCTCACAGAGGCAAAAAGAAACAGAGGAAGAGGAAGAAAAAGGAAAAGAGGGAGTAAAATGAGGTAAAGTTCCCGAATTTCAACCCATCGAAATCATCAAAAAGAGATGAAATAAGCAAACCTCAGCGACGAGGACATTGTGCAGTAATTTCTTGCGTGCTTTCATTACACGCACAACAGCAGCTTCAACTTCGTGTTTTCTATCTTCATCAATCTGCATTAAAAGTCAAACACTCATGCAAAGTATTGGAACGTTGATACATTCATTATCTTGTTACTTTACTGATAATTCCTTTGGGTTTTTTAAGGGGTGAAGAAAATGAAGGAAACAATCGGCTGAAGATATAAGGAAAATGAACATAGAAAAGTATCTCAAAAATGTAAAGGTATCTTCTGGCTTTGCTCAACATCCCCGAGTTCGTTTGCGTTATGGCGCTGGACACCCATGATGAGCATTTATCTCTTTATCCAGGTACTGGGATATTAACTCGTTTCTCTTTCGGTACCTCAGGAAGGTGAAGGTATCTTTCCCCTAAGTATACCATCTGTTATTTTTGATGAACGATGGGCAAAAAAAAAAAAACAAAACAAAAATTTCAAGCTAATAAAAAATGCAAGGAAGAAAAAACTAACTCTTGAGCGTGTTTCTTTTCTTTCAGGTTCTGCTTCAGCTCGTCCCGATACCATTTGAATTTTGATTCGAGTAAGTTTTGAGGTAAACGCATCATTTACCCAAAATTCATCCGTATTTTCTGAAATTCACTCAAAAAACCGGAAGGATAAAAGGCAACAGTGAGAAACCCGGATCTTCCATATCACCTTCCTCACAAAATTTAGTGCCATTCACATAAGCTGAGGCATGACTGTTAGCGCAGTGGTATAAATAACCAAAGGATGAGGTAGACTGCTGGATATGTTAAGATTAGTGATAAGGGATCGATCTAAATATCATAAAATGCACCGACGGACACTGGACATTTGTCTGTGTTATATCCCTAGTTGTAAAACCAGATAGAGCACAGACCGTGGATAAGTGTAGGAATCAAGTATAATCTTCTATCGGCTATAATGTACTACAAGCATAAGCTGACTGCAGTAACCAGTTTGACCCTAGAAGCCAAAATGGCAAAGGCGCGACAGATTACGGCATGAGAGAAGAAGATAAGAGCAAGATAAGACGTTTCGGTCTATTAATTCATATACGCCTTAGCTCAACACAGCGACTGGACCTCGTCAGTATAACGGTCGCATTGCTCAATGGAAAGAGGAAACAAAAGAGAAAGACGATAAACACTAACACGGACTTAGTTTTGATCACAAATTATGTATATATCGAATTTCTAAAATTTCAAATGAAACGAAGCAACAAATTCAAGCACTGACCAATTTCCCTCCCATGTCCTCGTCGACATAAAATTCTCTGAGTGGTTTTTCCCATTGCCAATGAAAGCAGTGATCGTTTCAACTCCTTATCCGGAATTTGAGTTTCAGATGCCAATTCCTATAAAAATACGTTGAAGGCTAATTCCACATTTTAACTACACACAACTATACATACAAACAAAAAAAGTACAGATGAGCCAGAAAAAGAATCAGACGTCGAAAATAAACCGAATTAAAATTCAAAAATAGCTATGCAAAATTACCTCATATGTAATTTTGGCTTTGGTATTGAACCTAAGCAAAATACACATTTGATAGGTGCTCACTGTCAGTATCTT